CAGGGTTTCCTAATGCCTAGCAGTGGTGGTAAAGTACTTGTCGACTTCTCTTGAAGTATGTAATACTAATACTAATAATAATAATAATAATAATAGTATTTTATTATTTGTACCCCGCCCATCTGGCTGGGTTTCCCCAGCCACTCTGCAGGCCAAGACTCAGCAACAGAGAAAGGAGATGTTATTATTGTTTAGCTGGTAGTTAGGATTTAGAGAGAGACTGGCCCCATCTATGTGTTTATTCTGTGCCCTTTGTTAAGCTCTTGCAAGAATGTGCAATTGTAATGAAAATTATTTAAAATGGAGCAACACCACAGGCCAGCCAAAGATTAAGATTGATAGAGAAGACCTTCCTGCAACTCTTGGGGGGGGGGGGTTTAAGAGTGCCTTCCCAGTAAGACTCCCTCTCCAGAGAGGTGGGGGGTACTTTTTCTTTACAGCTTCCATTGGCTGCTCAAACTGCACCTTTTGAAAACTGAAGAATTGTATTTTGGTGTTCTCCCTGTAATGTGTAGTATGGAATTACTGTTTTAGGGCTAGAGTGTGGAATTTTGTTTAACTGTTTTAACTGTGTCCTATACCTGGGACTTTTCTGGGGTAGGGAAGGTATCAGTACAAGAAGAAACCAGCAGAGAGAAGCAGGCTGGATGTAAAAGTCTGGGAAACTGAGAAAGTCTTTGGCACTGATGGGACACCCAAGTAGTAGTTTTCCTTCCTTCCTTCCTTCCTTCCTTCCTTCCTTCCTTCCTTCCTTCCTAATGGTGGAACTCATGGACATCTAGTGATGCTGATGGTTGCAAGATGCAGGACAGTTAAAAGGAAGTCTTCCTTCACTCAGTGCACGGTCAAACTATGGAACAGGCACCCACAAGAGACAGTGATGGCCACCAATCTAGATGGCTTTAAAAGAAGATTAGTCAGATTCATGGAGGGCTATTGATGGCTGCCAGCCATGATGTCTATGCTGTGCCTCCACAGTTCCTGCTGTTGACAGAAATGCTTCTGAACACCAGTGGAAACCACAGGAGGGGAGGGTGGTCTTGCATTCAGATCCTGCCTGCTGGTTTCCCACAAGCATCTGGTGGGAAAGTCTTTATCAGGTGAAGTTGAGGGGCCACCACTGAGAAGCCTCATTCTGTGGTAGAAGTCATGCAGATGGGCAATCTAAGGGGAGACCCTCTTTGTAGATGGCATTGCTTCACGTCTTTCAAACACCAGTGTGCCAATTCTGCTGCATTTAGGGGCACTCCTGCCGAGTGAAGCCACAAACTTCTGCCTTGAAGTGTGGCCCAAGCAGCACTATTGCCACTTGTCATGGCTAGGGCATGTTGAATTTTTCAGCTTTCAAATCCTCAGAATGAGGGGTGCTAAAAAGTTGGAACATGACTTGAGAACTCAAAAGATATTTTGATTAAATTAATATAATTTAGTTTTGCTTAGTAAATGCGTAAAATTACATAGAAATGATTAAAAATGATTGCAAATTACTTGCAGCTATATTCTATATTATTTTTATTTATTTATTATTATTTAGTATTACCTGACATTTTCAGAATGTAAAATTATAATTATAATTCTTTGGTTTTCTGAAAGCAGTTGATGTGCTTCTTCATCAAATGTAGAACTTACCAAGCTAAATGTTGCCCAATCACAAAAATTATAGCAGATTTTGATTCCTCACACCCCAAAGCATATTTTTAAGACCACACCTCATGCAGTTTGGAGACCCTGCACAATGTGTTCTGTTGAAGATCTTCATGTGTGGGAAAGTGGTCCAAAGCTTTAAAGGTCAAAATCTACACTTTGCATAGAGCCCAGAAATGAACTGGGATCTGATGCAGTTGGCATAGTGTTAGTGCCGTAGACTCATAATGCCTGGCCCCAACTTGACACCCTTGCAGGTGTCCTTTGGCCTAAAGTTCAGTTTCTGAACCATCTTAAAGAACAGCCCCATGTACCCCACATTACAGCAGTCTAGCCAGAGTATGAATGACTGATGCCAGGCTACCTCTGTCCAGGAATCACAGCTGGCAGTAAAAGGAATTGGTTGCACATGGGCAATCTGTGCCGCCAGTAACATAGGTCAGTGGTTCCCAAAGTGGATGGGGAGGATTACGGGGGGGGGGGGTGATGCTAAGAAGCAAGGGGGCAGCGTGGGGGCGCTGGAGGTGTAAATAACTACCAGACTTTGAAAAACTGATATCGTTGGGTCAAGTTCATCACTTTTCTTGAATTAATTAAACTAAACAGTTTTAATTGGATTTTGAATAAATGTGCAATTAATTGTTACTCCTTTGTATGTTACTATGCTAATATCTTCCTTAGTGGGTCAGGAAAACCACTGTTCTTAATAATGCTTTTTATAGAGTATGGTGCACTGGGGGTGAGTCTATGGAACCAAGGGGGCAGGGGCCCCCAGAGGTTTGAGAACTTCTGACATAAATGGTCCCAGGATGGACACACACACCAGATTCCAAACATGGGAGTGCAGCCCTGCCGACGAAACCTCAACGGACAGTTTCCTCCCTATATGTTAAGAAGGGATTAGTTAGTGCCCTGTGTGAGCTCAATATATCAGTAAGTTTTCAACCAGTGTGCTGTGGCACCGTGGGGTGCCTTGAATGGTGGTCAGGGGTGCCACGGGCAACACTGGCCTCTGTCCCCCTTTCCTTCCCTCCCTCCTTTGATTCCCTCTCACATCTCTGCCTCCCAAAGGCTTGCACAGCTGTTTGTTGCAGCAGCCCTGGCTACAAGCTCCCCAGGCGAATGGTGCCTCTGGGGCTGGCCAGGGGGTGCTTGCCAGGCCCCTGTGGGGCAGTGTGAGGAGGCACCTCTCTTTTGGATGGGGTAGGGGTGGGGCGTGGGGAGCTGCTAAGAGGCCAAGGGGCGGCAGCAGTGACTGCCGAGAGGACTCTTAAGGAGAGGAGGCTGAGGGAACACTCCATAAGGGAAGGTGTTCGAAAAAGGGTGAGATGCTGCCAGCTCGGCAGGCATGGGGTGACATAACTGGGCTCCTGAGCCCCACAGGGGAGCTGCAGAAAGAAGGTAGTTGGTTAAGGGAGCCGTGGGCCCAAAAAGCTTGAAAACCTCTGCACTATATAAATACTGAAGGGTTGAGCAGCAGTCTCCTAGTGACACCTTCAGGAGCTTGTCATTCACTGCAGAAACAGGACCACTGAAAGGCAGCGTTCCCTGCATCCAAGTCACAGCTCGTCCAGACTTCCTTTGGTGACACACTTCTAGGTGCCGGTCCAGCCTTTAAAACTCCATGTTTGAGCATTCGGGGGGGGGGGGTGTCCCTGAACTTTGCCCAGTTAAACCTGTGTTTTGCTGCTGAATCAGAGCAAACAGCAATAAGGTTTTCCGTGGATTGCCATTAACTCAAATTAGGCGGTGAAATTCAGATTTTCCTGTGGAAAGCGCTGCCGCAACAACAGCAAAACTGCTTGGACACGAGGCTTTAAAGCCTGGACAGCACAGCGCAAAAGGAAGTCTGGATGAGCCCCCAGACTCTTATCCTGGAAGACACCAGGAGATCCATCTGGTCAGACCAGCCTCTGGGGCTGGTCAGACTCAGGGGTCAGCAATGAGATGCATTTTAAATAAAAGGACACATTCTACTCATGTAAAAACACACTGATTCCCAGACCGTCCGCAGGCAGGATTTAGAAGGCGATTGGGCTGGATCCGGCCCCCGGGCCTTAGTTTGCCTACCCATGGACTAGCTGAATCCCCCCCCCCCCTTAACACTCATCATCCCTGGAGCCTAACTGCAATGGGCCAAGATCGGCTTTCCTGGGCCTGCTGCAACCCTCACCAACCACAGCCAGCACAATGGGGGGGGGGGGAGAGAAGACCCCCCCCCCCCCGCCACCGCTGCCCAGCCTTTTTCCCTCCATTCTGAATGTTCATAGGCTTTCTTCTTCCTCTTCTGTCTGTCTGCTTCAGAGCAGAAAAAGAATACGCAGCAGAGGTGTGGGTGTGGAACACCTACACATGTAAACATGGATGATTTATCTTTATTACTCGGCACTTGTTGGTTTGAACCGGTTTGGATTTAAACACTTGTTGAACTCATTAGCAAAAACAGAGCTAAGGTTTTTTTTTTAATAGCTTTAGTTGAGCTAAGTTCATTTTAATTAACAGAGAGAAGAGATAAGGCCAATCATTTCGTGCAGCTAACAAATACATTGGTTAGATGCCTCAATGATGAAATTAAAAATGTTGGCGTGAATAAAGCAGCCTTATCTGACAAGCTGACAATAAGGGAAAGCTGCATTTAAGAATTTATGATAAAGAGCCAGTATGCTATATTGGTTAGAGTGTAGGACTAGGGCCTGGGAGACCAAGATTCAAATCCTCGGTAAGCCATGGTGAAGCTCACTGGGTGACTTTGGGCCAGTCACTGCCTCTAGGCCCAAGCTACCTCACAGGGTTGTTGTGAGGATTAAAGAAGAAGGGGGTGAAACATGTATATGCCACCTTGAGCTCCTTGGAGAAAAACATGGAATGTAAATGCAATAAATGAATATATATAAACAATATAGCTGGTCGCTAGGGATGGAAGGGTCAAGTTTGGTTCTGTCAGAGTCTCATTTTTCCATTCTTAAATTTGGTTCTCCATATTTCTGGAATTTCAGAGTTATTCCCCCCCCCCCCGAAAAATAGCCCCCTGAATCTTCATCAGCATTTCACTGCAAATTTGTCCTAATCAGCACATGTTTGGATGCAGCTTTGCATACAAACTAATACACATTTAAAAAAAACAAAAAAAAAAAACAATTCCTCCTAATATATTCACATTTGGTTTGTTCTGACAAAGATATTTGTATGCAGACTTTCCCCTAATTTGTGTGTTTTCATAAATGTTTTTTTGGCTGGAGAACTGCATTGCAAAATGTGGAAAAGTGCAAATTCCAAAAGTTAGCTGTGTTTTGGTTCTCTTTTTTTAAAGTGTGGATTAAGTGCTGCAACTTTCTCCTACATCCCTGGCTGGTCCCCCCTCCCTGAAATGTGGCAAGGTGGGTTTTACCTGCAGCTGGTGACTCTCTTGCCATGACCAGGCTGCTCCTGATGCTCATCAGCTCTGCTTTGTCATATCCAGGGTGTGAGGATGGCGATGCAAGAAACGCAGCAGCTGCCTCAGCTTGCCCCGGCACCTTCCGCTGTGATCCTGGGTGAGATGCTGAATGAACACTTTGGACCCATGCCTGTCAAGGCCCCCATCACCCGAATGAAGAAGTCCTCTGGTGTCTACCTTCCCACGGTGAACCAGGATCAGGTCCTGGGAAGGAGGCAAGCAGCGAACGCTAAAGAGAGAGAGAGGGTAAGCAGGCACAGAGACAGAGGTTTGAGAGTGAGCCCTGTTGAACACACAGTAGAATTTAATTCCAAGGAGATGTCCACTGTATGAAGCCACAAGAGTTTCTGACCTCCTAGTTACAGAATAATAGGATAGTAGAGTTGTGCCATCTAGTCCAGGCTCCTGCAATGCAAGAATCCTGCCCAAAGCTGTCTCCAGGTGGGCTCAAACCACCAACCTTCTGGTTAACCCATTGCACCACCTGCAGGAATCTCAACTAAAGCATCCATGACAGGTGGCCATCCAACCTCTGCTTAAAAACCACCAATGAAGGAGAGTCCACCGACCTTCCAAGGAGGTCCATTCCACTGTCAAAGAGCCTCTTCCCCTCAGAAAATTCTTCCTAACGTTTTGCCGGAATCTCCTTCCTTGCCATTTGAATCCATTGGTTCAGTCCTCCTCTCTGGAGGAGGAAACAAGCTTGCCCCTCAGATATTTGAAGGTGGCTCTCATAAATGGAAACATCTGCCTGTTTTACAGGGGCTGGATGAACTGGTGGAAGGAGGAGCCTGGGGAAGTGGGTGGGGGTTGACTCTGAAGGGAAACACCTGCCAGCTGACAGCCTTCCCCCTTCTGGCCTTCCAGACGCCTTGGACTACAGCTTCTATCAGCACCAGCCAGTCTGGTCATACGAAGCTGTGGCTGATGGAAACATGTCCGTTCTGGCTGGGGCTCATGGGAGTTGTATTCCCAGACACCAGGAAAGCAGCCGGTTGGGGAAAGGCTGTCCAGAACATTATGCTAAGAAAATCCTGGTCATGACAAGCATAAGGAAACCTGCTAATGATTACAAAATACTTCCTGCTCTCTAGTCTTTTCTTTAGTTTTGTTCAAGCAATTGGTGGGGTAACAATGTGAAACACACTTTATCCTCCGAGGTGGTCAAAGGCTGAGTCAGAGGTGGATGTGAATGTGCTGGTACAAGCAAATGCCAACGTTGACAAGTAAATGAGTGCGAAAACAGGTCATTTACTGATGGGTTTTTGGAGATGTGCAGGTGAATTTCAGGAATTACTGGATCCTGGGGACAGATTTTCAATATTTACTCTGAGTACATGGTAAAAGCCATTCTTCAGTGTTAAATTGTGGAAATGAGGATGACATTGGGCTCAAAATGTGCCAGGAAATGGGGGAAGTGCCCAAATTTTCTGACTTTTCCCACTAGCCTCCCCAAAGATTACGAACTACTGGTAAATGCCAACATTTGCCGTACCCCAGATAGATGGTCATTGAAGCCTTGCAAGCTGTATGGAGTGGTCATTGCATTTTACAAGTTGATTCCTTGGGGCTTGGTAGGGAAAGAGATGTTCTTTTTCTGTACCCAGATGGCCATTCCTCAGTTGCCACCAGCCAACGCTTCCTGGAATATTTTGTCTTCTGGGGGAAGGACTATTTCCTTCTGCCAATTCCTCCAGGAAAGCTGTCAGGACACAGCAATAAAATAGCTTTTATTCTCTTAGAGAGCATTCTAATCAGAAAATCAGCCATTGCTAACTGTTTACTCTAGATAGCTTGGGTAAACTTTGAGGTTAGTTCAGCAACCTGGTTGCATCAGACTTTGGCAGAAGGCAAATGGCAATAGCATTTTGGGAGTTGAAGGGAGGCTGAAAGAGGCTCATAAAGTCATACTCATTCCACTTCTGTCTCTGGCAGGTATTTGTGTTGTGTCAAAAATTAAAGACAAAACCAAGGCAAAATCTATTTAATTAAAGACAAAAATGGGGGGGGGTGCGCATGCACACGCGCAAAGAGTTGTTTTAAACTGTGTTTTAATTAAAACAAAAAAAATTCCTTCCAGTAGCACCTTAAAGACTAACTAAGTTAGTTCTTGGTATGAGCTTTCGTGTGCATGCACACTTCTTCAGATACACTGTACACTGTACACTGCACACGAAAGCTCATACCAAGAACTAACTTAGTTGGTCTTTAAGGTGCTACTGGAAGGAATTTTTTTTGTATTGACTATGGCAGACCAACACGGCTACCTATCTGTAACTGTGTTTTAATTGTTGTAACTGTTCTGGGGCCTTAGAGTGAATAGCAGGTAATTAGAATACTAGAATTGCAGAGTTGGAGGGGATTCCAAGGGTCATCTATTCCAACCCCCAGCAATGCAGGAATCACAGCTAAATAATCCTAGACAGGTGGCCATCCGACCTCTATTTAAAAACATCAAATGGAGACACTACCTTCCACTCTCGAACAGCTCTTACCATCAGAAAGTTATTCCTAATAATAACCATAGTAATGTGAAGCGAAACCTCTCCCAAACCACTTTCATCTCTCTTAAAAACTCTGCTGTCGTAAGTGTTGTTTGACATCCCCAAAGCTGCAGCAATTACAGCAACAGCAACAGGATTATTAAGCATATGGCAAAACTGGAGTTTGAATCTCTGTCCCTCTGCCCTCAGGCCAAATCTTGAAAGTAAACAGGGGTGCCTATTGTGGGCCTCCAGGTGCTTTTGAGGCTCCATCTCTCATCACCCCGATGGTTGGCCAAGTTGGGCTGGTGCTGATGGAAGTCAGCCCAGCATCTGGAGAGCCACAGGTTCGCCACCCCAATATCATCTCCAATTAGCAGGCAGCCAAATGAGTCATAATTTGGTTTCATGAACAGGTTAGTAAAAATGCACATCTGGAAGGACAGGTGATGGGAGGGAGGGGGAGCTCTTCCCAACTGCTCATCACAGGATGAGTGCAAAGGAAGGAAAAGTTTCTCCAGCTTGAAGGGCTCGAGACACTAATCTCTCGGCTTTAATTGCTTGCTTTTTAAAAAAAAACCCCACACACAGATAAAGAACTTGAACAGTTGCTTTTCCAAGCTCAAAGCTATCGTGCCACTGATTCCGAAGGACCGGAAGCCCAGCAAAGTTGATATGCTTAAAGCCACTTCTGAATACATTCGCCTGTTGCGCTCAGTTTTGGAAGAAACTGGAGGGTGTGAGGTAGGAGCAAAACTAACTTTGCAACCCCCCCACCCCTGCTGAACTTCCTGTGATCCTCATTTGAGGCCCTTCTTCAAGGGTCCAGAGTGTGGCAACACGAGAACAAGCCTTTTCTGCGGTGACTCCCCATTTGTGGAATGCTCTCCCCAGGGAGACTCACCTGCCACCATCATTTTATATCTTTAGGCGCCAAGCGAAAACTTTTCTCTGTAACCCAGGCCTTTGGCCTTTAACTATCTGTGGCCTTTTAGAAATGGGTCAGGTGTTTTAAAAACGTTTCTTTCCCCCCTTGGTTTTAATGTATCTGTGTGGGATGGGTAGATTTCCTTGGGCCAGATAAAGCAACAAAGAACCCTGCCACACGGTGCGGTCTGCTGAAGAACCTCCTGAGTTTGTTGCAAAACCCTGTGCTGTGCGGGTTCCAGGGCATCCCCTGGAATGCACCTGTGGAGCTTGGGCCCTGCTCACTGGGACACCTGTGGCACTTGAACTGCGGCTGCTTCCAAGCAGGTTACTGCAACCCTGTCCTTCCCTGGAAAGCTACAAGCAGAATTGCAACTGACTTTCCACAATGTGGGGTGATTGATTTGGGGTGGTGGAGGGTATACATCACACTACGTTTTGCCTAAATAAGTAGGGAGGGAAGGTATCTTCTCCCCCCCCCCCATCATTAATTTTTCCTTGAAATAAATAAATTGAATTTGCACTAAAGCACTTATGAGGCAATAGCAAACTTTAGCCATACCTGGAATTGTACAGCGAATACATTACATTCACTGTGTTTATTATTCATCTATTTAATACTTTAATATCCCACCTGAGTTCAAAGTGACAGAGATGGTTCTCCCCCTCCTTATTTAATCCCTACAAAAAAACAGCTAATGCTCTGCCCATGAAATCATCCCAGCTCTTTCCCAAGCACCCGTTTCTTTGCAATTTTTCATATGTATGTGGTCATCCAAGCTGTCTCACTACTGATCTGTTTTCCTTTCTGCTTCCACAAGCTGAAAGATCCAGCAGGTCACGGTCCTTCTGGGCCCTCTTCAGTGCCAGCACCGCTAGAAAAGTGTTCGCCAGCCAGTCCCAAGCCCCAGAGACCCAACAACTGCATCAAGATGGAAAATGGGATGGAAGTGGTGTGGGCAAACCCAGTGGTGCAGAGCCCCATGTGGGCCTGGGAGGAAACACTTATTCCTACCTATGTGGGGATTTTGGAACTTCACACAACCGGATAGCAGGTTAGGTTTTCTCCAGGGCTTGGTTTTACCTTTTACCTTTTCAGTGGTTCCCAAAACAAAATTTTTTTTCCTTCCAGTAGCACCTTAAAGACCAACTAAGTTAGTTCTTGGTATGAGCTTTCGTGTGCATGCACACTTCTTCAGATACACTGAAACAGAAGTTGCCAGATCCTTCTATATAGTGAGACTTTGGCTTTGTCACCTTCTCACCCCTTTTTCACCTTCTCACCCCTTGCTTTTTCCTGTAAGACCTATTGCAGTCGTTAAGAGTCGTCAACAGGCTCATCACAGCTATCTGCCAATCACCCATTCCCACCACCCTTCTGAGTAATACCCCTCCCCACCTTCTCACTATATAGAAGGTGTATCTGAAGAAGTGTGCATGCACACGAAAGCTCATACCAAGAACTAACTTAGTTGGTCTTTAAGGTGCTACTGGAAGGGGAAAAAATTTTGTTTTGACTTTACCTATCTGTAAGTGGTTCCCAAAGTTCGCGATGCCGCCCTCTGTGGGGCTGTGGGATTCGGGGGGGGCACTAAGAGGCAAGGGGGCAGCAGGGGGCGCTGGAGATGTACCGGTAAATAACTTTGAAAGGCTAGTATTGCTGGATCAAATGCACAAATTTTGTGGAACTGGCTAAGCTAAACGGTTTTAATTGGATTTTGAATAAATGTGCAATTAATTGTTACTGTTTCGACTTTTATTGTGTTCAGCACCTGCTAAAAACATTCTTCTTTAGGCAAGATGCTACCCAGATGCTTATAAATGCCAATGTGAATTTTAATCTGTTTTCGTATTTTAAGTTTTTGTATGCTTTAAAGTATTGTAAATTTTTCTTGGTTTTATCATTTTTTCCTTTTTGTAAACTGCTTTGAGGTTGGTTGGTTGGTTGGTTTTTACAAGCAAATGGTGTATAAGTTTTATGAAATAAAACAAACAAATAAATAAGATAAAGAGTAGCTCATGTACTTACCCGGGTAATCCTATGCCCCCCCCCGAGGCAGTAGTGCCCAATTTGGAAACAACTGATTTAAGATTATACATTTTATGTTGCTATTTTATTGCTATCCTTTACCTCCTGTTTTCATTTCATTCCAGTTTCATCCTTATCCTATTCTGCATGCTGCCTTCAGAATGCAGAATGGAAAATCAAGAGCGCAGGACTGGAATAAATCAGCAAAGACGCAGATGCACTTCCACACCTGCGAACAATTTGTCTTTCAGAGCCTCCTTTGGTGCAGATGGAGGATCAGCTTTTCCAAGACGCAGCACTTACAGAAAGGAACCCAAACTGGGTGTTCTTGTTTGATGAGTTTTCATTTGTTCTGTTTAAAATTAAATTAAATCTGCCACAATGATGACTCATGCTTTGCATCTTTGCAGTCTAGTCTTTGGACCAAAATTCATTGTGGGGAGCAAAGAGCTTCACAGGGTAACTGAAAGCTTCCCCTAAATATGGGAGGGTGTTCTCGGGAAGGTTCAGTGCAAGAGAGAAGCCAAAGCAGGGAGTTTTGTTTGTTTTTTGCTCCATGGACCTGATCCTTATTAGGAACAGCCTCATGAGCTATTTGACAGTGACAGCGGCGTAGCGTGGGTTGTCAGCACCCGGGGCAAGGCAAGTAATTTGTGCCCCCTAACCCGTGGATTTGCGCCCCCTAACCTGTGGATTTGCCCTAACCCCAGATGTTGCGCCCGGTGCGGCCGGCCCCCCTGCACCCCCCACGCTACGCCAATGGACAGTGAAACACACTACCTCAGAAGGCAGTGGAGGTTTCTGAACCTCATTGGAAGTTTTTAAGCAGATGTTGGATGACGGTTGTCTTCAGCTGAGATTCCTGTGTTGCAGGAGGTTCAACTAGATGACCCTTTGGGTCCCTTCCAATTGGGTCTACAATTCTATGATTCTAAGGTATGTACGTATGGCAATTTAAAGTGGATCCAATGAACCCCAGCCGGGGGGGGTGTGCTTGCATCATCCTCATCTAAATGGCAGCCCATACTTTCTTCCCCATTTAGTTTACCTTTTCCCGTTCTGCAGATAATGTGATAAGGGAAAATCGTGTTCCATGGGCAAGTGGGTTGGGTGACCAGGTTTTTTATTTGGGGGGGGGCTTTATGTGTGTTGGGAAGTTTTGCTGTGTGCAATCTAGCTCCATGCCCTTCTCTTCCATTTTCGCATCACCTGAGCACAACCAAACCATTTTGTTTCCATCAGCCCCCAAAGAAAGGATGCACCGTGCTTATTCCTGGCATTTGCAGAGAAAGGCACATTTGCTGTAATTTATTTTTACTCTTAAAGCAGCTGTTTTGTACAGAACTGCTCTTCTGCAAAACTGCAGTGGTCAAAAAGAAAAATGGCCTTTGCAGGAAAAGTGGGGAAAGAGGAACGGCTAAGGGAGCTGGGCATGTTTAGCCTGAAGAAGAGGAGGTTAAGGGGTGATATGATAGCCATGTTCAAATATATAAAAGGATGTCATATAGAGGAGGGAGAAAGGTTGTTTTCTGCTGCTCCAGAGAAGCGGACATGCAGCAATGGATCCAAACTACAAGAAAGAAGATTCCACCTAAACATTAGGAAGAACTTCCTGACAGTAAGAGCTGTTTGACAGTGGAATTTGCTGCCAAGGAGTGTGGTGGAGTCTCCTTCTTTGGAGGTCTTTAAGCAGAGGCTTGACAACCATATGTCAGGAGTGCTCTGATGGTGTTTCCTGCTTGGCAGGGGGTTTTATCGATGGCCCTTGTGGTCTATTCCAACTCTATGATTCTATGACTCTAACAGTCTCCATGTTTTGTGTCCCTGGGCCGTGTATGCTTAGAATCATGGAATTGTGGAGTTGGAAGAGACCCAAAGGGCCATTAGTCCAACCCCTTATGAGTGTGTGTGAAACGTACTGCTTATGCCCATCTCCGCAGCAGCTGTTTGCACCTACATGGCAGCGGTGCTGCTTCTGCAGGAGCTCTCAATGTCAGCGGCTGCCGAGGCACTTGGCGCATGGGGCAGGGAGAGAAGCAGCAGCCGTTGCTTCCACCAGCGGCTTCAGACCCAGTCACTGAACACTTCCACATGGCGGCTGGCACAGGACCAAGCTCAAGACATGCAACTCATCACAGTTGATGAAAAATTAGACTTTTCACCTTTAACAGGTATACCAGAGGAGTATATCATAACCAGAAAAGTTCACATTTTTGTTCCAGCCCGTGATGCCATGCAAGCTGGTGTTAACAATACAAAAAAAGGAAGATAGAATTTGGCACAAGGGAGCGCTGGGAAAACTCACTGATGGGCTGGGCATCTTCCGCGGATCCTCTGTCCAATGTGTTGATGACCTTTTTACAAAAGAAGCTGCTATAGCCTTTGCCGGGGGGGGGGGGATGGCTGGGGCTATGATGTTCAAGAGCAGAGGATTCCAAAACCTAAATCCAAGTCTTATAGTGCAAACTTTTCTTGGAACAAAAGACCAAGGGTGTCCACAAAATAGGTTGACATTGGCTGTCTCTGTGTCTGACTGTGAATAAAGTCAGCTGTGCTCCATTTATAGTCCATGTATAATACATCTCTTAAAAGGGACGCGGGTGGCGCTGTGGGTAAAAGCCTCAGCGCCTAGGGCTTGCCGATCGAAAGGTCGGCGGTTCGAATCCCCGCGGCGGGGTGCGCTCCCATTGCTCGGTCCCAGCGCCTGCCAACCTAGCAGTTCGAAAGCACTCCCGGGTGCAAGTAGATAAATAGAGACCGCTTACCAGCGGGAAGGTAAACGGCGTTTCCGTGTGCGGCTCTGGCTCGCCAGAGTAGCTTCGTCACGCTGGCCACGTGACCCGGAAGTGTCTCCGGACAGTGCTGGCCCCCGGCCTCTTGAGTGAGATGGGCGCACAACCCCAGAGTCTGTCAAGACTGGCCCGTACGGGCAGGGGTACCTTTACCTTTAATACATCTCTTAATCTCCTAATAAATTTGACCTTTAAAAATAAAATTAAAAAGTACTGTTTGTTATTCTCTGGGCCACACTGTGGCTTTCTGTGTTGGGGGACAGGAGGAAGGTCTGGAGGTCAGAGACTCCCCTGCCTTGCCCTGTCCGGTCATTCTTTGCCCTGGAGAAGGCTCTCTAGGGTGAGCTCTTGGTTCTGAACTTGGCAGGGCTGGTGCGTCATATGAACATCATTTTAAACGCTGCTCTGTGCAATATCAGTAAATTGAAAAAACATGATTTCAAAAATGAATTTTAAAATTGTCTGTTTTCCCTACCATGAAACATGCGTGAAGTTTTGGCTTTGGTAAAAGTTTGTTATTGAAATACTCTGTGAACAAAACCATTTATGAGAAAGGGGGGAAAAACAGGTGTGCATGCACAGGTAAACTAATCCTTGCATACCTGTCCATAATGGACGTCTAGTTCCTGTAACTTCCAGAGGGCAAAGAAGTACTAACTGAGGATGGGGGGTGGGGGGGGCAGACAACAACACATAGCATGGAGGCATCCCATCAAGCACCACACACTAGTGTGGGAACATCAAGGCGGATTTCAATGGAAAGTCCTCAGAAGCAGAGAAATCAGAACTATGTGACACACAGTTGTGCATTAGCCCCCTGGAGTGTGCACAGCCTCACACCCATACAGCAACAAGGAACACAACACAGAGTGGGATAACAGACTGTCACAATTTGCATGTGGGATTCCATCACATACCAGCAAATTCAGGTTGCCCAATTAGCGCAGAGGGTTTTTTTGCCATTTTTTTCTGCTTCTTCCCCCTGCCCCAAAACTGTTTACAGGTCAAAAGCGATGGGAGAAACGCCTTTCTGCATATTACCTGTCCAGTAAGTGCAATAACCGGCAGTTGGTACTTCTAGGAGGCTGGAGAAGAGACTCGCCATCATTGCCTTCTCCGACATTTGCCTTTTGCTGCTGTGTCAGCCTCCTCTGGGGAAAGGATATGGGAGCCAGCTGAACCGCATTTAAGCCAGGCTCCTTGGAGAGCGGCAAGAGCAGAAACTTCATCGTTGCTTAACTCTTGTTTTGCTCTGTGGTTATGTACTTAAGCCTGGATGATTGGGGGGTTTTGTGGGTGTGTTTGTAACGTTGAATTTATTCTGTGATTGCCAAATGGTTGATTTTTGTGATTTCTGAAATCACTGACTTGCTCTGCATTTTGTTTATTTGCATTTCTAGTGCTCTGCATTGTGATGTTTGGCATGTTTGCTGTAAGCCGCTCTGGGCGCAGCTCACTGTGGAAAAGCGGCATCTATCCGCACAGCAGAAAAACCCCGAATGAGCGCTCAATAAAGAATCAGTGTCGTGTAACCTCCCCGCGCACTCTAAGCATACAATCCAGTTACTTACTTCCATCAAGGATCTTATCGGGCTGGGCGAGATCGTTTCACAAAAACGTGACCCCTGATCGGCAGAGCTGGTCCTGGCTCCTTGCCTCTTCCCTCTCCCGCAGCCCCGCGTCCGAGGCTCCCGTCTCGCGGGCCACAGAGTGGCGCCCTGCTCCTCCCGCGCCAGCGCCAGATGCGCGCTACATTTCAAAGGCAGCATCTTCCCACATGCGCAACGAGGTCTGTTGATCGCCGCCGCAGCGCACCGACTCAGACCGTTGGGTCCCTCGACCCCGTGCTGCCTACAGAGACTGGCAGCGGCGGCTCTCCGGGATCTTGGACGGGCGTTTCTCTCCCCGCCCTACGTGGGGTGCCAAGCAGGTGCCCTTCCCCTGTCGACTCCTGAGCAGCAGCCTACTCCTACTCCTAAGTAACGCCATTAAAAACCAGTGCCGCGCAGCCATATAAAGGAGGGAGGCCAGCTCCATCGCCGGCTTCTTCTTCTCCTTCCAGCCCCTTAAAGGAGAGGGGCGCATCCTTCCGGCCCACCCGGCTGGGGGGCCTCCTGGTGCCAGCGGCCCATTGCGTCACCGCTCCTCCCTGCAGCAGAAGACGAGGCAGCGCGGCGGCTCGGGGGCCGAGGGACGCGGCGCCTCTGGCTGTGCGCGCAGCCGTCCGGAGGGGGGCGCTCGGGGCGCGGAGGGGAGCCGCCCTTTTGTCATCATCCGAAGCGGACGGGGCGAGGCGGGCAGGTTGCCTCCGCCGCCCGGTTGCTGGGTCTCGGGTCCCTTTTGGATGCTGCTGCTGCTGCCGCCGCCGCCGCCTCCTCCCCCTGCCCGGCATCTTCCCCACCTCCCTGGGCGGATCTCTTTCTCCGCGGCGCGCAGAGCAGCGAAGGCGCCTAAGGAGACCAGGAGGAGGAGGCGCGAGGCGCGGCGAGGGACAGATCCGGAGATCGCAGGATGGGCTCCTCCGGTGGGCTCCTTTGACTGGGAGGAGGAGGAGGAGGAGGAGAAGGGACCGCACTGCCGGGGAGGAAAGCGAATAACCGCCCCTGCAAGGAAGATGCGCTAAACGGGTAAGGAGGAGGCAAACCTTTCGGATTTCACCCGCACCTTCGACAAGTCGGCTTTCCACTTTATTGTCTCTGCTTCTGTTGTTGTTGTTTTTTTAAAGATATAGGTAAAACCAATTTGGTATGAATGTTTTCACCGGTGAATTTGTGGGTCGAAAGGTGCTCCCCACCCCATCTTGCAGCAAAAAGGAAAACCCCAATGGGCTGGGGTTGCTGCTGCTGCTGCTGTTTTTCGTGGGCTGCTTGCTCCCTTCGCCAGCACGCGAGTGAATTCCGAAGAGCCCAGGTGGTGTTTCTTGAGCTGGAAGCGGAATATAGGTGGGGATGGGGGTGGAGGTTACTCTCTTGCACGGTTTGCATAAACCAGATTGGCCTGTTTTTGAAACAATTTTAAACCGACCGTGGCCAAAAGCCCTGTATGCTACAACGCAGCAGCAGCCCATTGGACAGAATTGGCTGCTGGTCATCTTAAAGTGTGTGTGTGTGTGTGTGTGTGTGTGTGTACAGGTGTATACTGGATACATTGATCCCTAAAAATGAAAACCTTCTGATCTGGCTTTACATGCCATGGAGATTCTCTGGCGTTTGATCTCTGGGGATTCCTCTGGTTTCCTAGGCAGCGGGTTCACACATAGATACTTGGCAACAGAGGTGGGTCTTAGCACTGCACTTTGAAGTGACTGGAAAATGCTGGGAAGTGTCCCTGTGGCGGCTGATACTCTGGGCCGGATCCAGGGTCCTCTTTGTGTCTGTGAGGTTCTCTTCCTCCACCTTGCGTGGGTTAGGAAGGAGGACGGGAGGGAGGACTCCTGAGCCACACTTAACCTGGGCTTGGCCTCATCCCTGCTGAATATTCATCTCTTTCTTTTGTTTTCTCACTGTCAAAGCAAGCTCCTCATCGTGAGGGCTGCTGCAGCCATGGCTCACCCAGTCTCCTCTTCCAGGAGGTCTCATGAGTCACAGCCCCTGCGAAATAAGCAGAACATGCTCAGTAGTTCTAAGGAGTAGAGAGAGTGTTGCAGCCCTGGGCTTCACTTTGAAAACAATCCTACTTCCTTTCCCAACTACCAGGTCTGTGGTTGCTCTAGGCCAGTGTTTCCCAACCTTTTTTGGGCAAAGGCACACTTGTTTCATGAAAAAAATCTCGAGGCACACCACCATGCCAGATGGGGAAAGGTCACTTTTTACTTATGTAAAAAGAAATAAAAAAATAGTAACAGCATAGAAGGTAATGGTTAGGCTAGCATCCCTCTTCCAAATATGCTAGGTTTTTATTTGCAGGGACTGTTCTACATGGGAAAGCATTCAGCACTGTCATTCTCCCATCTGCCATCTGAATTGGTACTATTCTGGGTCAACTTACTCTGCTGCATGTGTAGATGAAAATGGCACCAAGTGTGGGGGAGGGGCAGAACAGGTTTCAGATACAGGATATTAAGCATACACGTACTTCAGATTGAACTGGTTGCTTGCTTTGCAAGTTTTCATTTCCCAAATGACTGCCTTGGCAAGCGCAATACCTACCAGGCTCAACGCCAGTCTCGCGCTGCCGCTTCCCGTGCTCTCAAGGACCCGGGAGGAGGAAGGCGTGAAGGGAATCCCGAAGGCGCGAAAACCTCGCGCATGCGCAGGCCTTCCGCCTGCGACAGCCCAGTAGGCCGGCCGAAGCGAGCGGCGATGGGATGTGGGAGGGAGCTCGCTCGCCGCCCCGCGTGTGCCTATGTGGGGCACGTTACAGCCCCGTGATGTCAGCGCCATGCAGGCAGCCAGGCAGGCAGACAGACGGCGAGAGCCCCGCGCTGGGCGGCCTCTCCTCGCCGCCGCCGCCCCGCCTCTCGCCGCCCGACTCGCCCGCCTCCCTCCAGGCAACATCTCGCGGCACACCAGGCAATGTCTCGCGGCACACTAGTGTGCCGCGGAACACCGGTTGGGAAACACTGCTCTAGGCGCTGCTGTCTATCAACCAGGGTCATCCGTATTTTTATTTATTTATGCATTTATTGCATTTATATCCCAACTTTTTCATCCAAAAGTGCTCAAGGTAGCATATGTTGTTCTCCCCCTCCTCATTTAATCCTCACAACAACCCTGTGAGGCAGTGACTGGCCCCCAAGGTCACCCGGTGAGTAGGGATTTGAACCCCGGCCTCCCAAGTCTTAGTCTGACACTCGAACCACCATTCTTCACTGGCTCTTGTCAGTGCTCAAACTACAGAATTCTGTGATGAGACCCCGTAGTCCCTCTTTCAGAATGCTTTGAGGTGGGGGCATCCTTTCACCCCCTCCCTGTTTTCACGAGAATCTTTCCAACCTCTTTCAACCTCTGTGGCTTTGGGCCTGGAGGACGAGGAGTGTCTGCTTTGTTGACTCAGGCGATGTTCTGCTGGTGGGCCATGTTTAAATTACAGGAGAGCAGAGCGGAGTCCGGCTGTCCTCCTTAGCCACGGTTTTCAGAAGGTTGTGGGAGCGGCATGGTTTCACTCCAGTAGGAATGAGTCACAGATTGGGGCCCACGGATTGCAAGAACGATACCCTATTCTTTCGCATCTTCCCTGTAATTTGAGCATTGAACCTTCTCTTGGTATTTCACAGAGTAACAGAAGCAAAAAGGTAGGAAAGGGGAGGCCTCTGCCCCCAAAGAGCTTACAAGCTAAGTACTGGGGCTAATGGGAGTCGCAGTCAAAAACATCTGGTGGGCATGATGAGACATCAGTAATGTAAAGCATTCATCCTGGCTTCCTGCCCAAAGAATCCTGGGAGCTAAGAGTGGTTAGGCGACACTTAGCAAACTAGGCTTCCCAGGTTACATTATGGGGGAAGCCATTTCTCTTAGGGCAGATTCACAACGTGCATTTAAAGCACAGGACTTCTAGGGCTGGGTGATATGTCGCTATATCATCCGATTTTCGGTGTCTGCGTCTGTGCAGACACAATTTCCGGTGCCGCAGAAATGAGTCCGCGCACCGCGCTGTGCCGGTTTAGTGCAGCATGCGGGGACTCGCCAAGCAAGCGACTCAGTTTGAGGGCGGCTCGTGGGCCAGTTAAACGACCCCCATGGGCCACTTGTGGCCCATGCGCCTTAGGTTACCAACCCCTGGTTTATGCTATGCAAATATAATGATGCAGGAAAAACCGCGAAGCCACCAGTGCCTCTACATAGCTCCATCCTTATTTCAGACATCACTGAAAACCAGATATGACTTCCCACAAAGTATCCTGGGCACTGTAGTTTGTTAAGAATGCTGGGAATTGTGTGTTTATGAGGGGGAACTACAGTTCCCAGTGTTATTTGGGGAAGTCATGTGCATTAAATCTATGTTGGGTATGCTTTAAGTCTAGGCTGTGGCTTTGACCAAAGTCTGCTAAATACCTCTTCAAGCATGTCAATGTTTTATCAGGCTAAATTACTGTGGGTGGGCCTGATTTCCTTCACAGGGTGAAGGGAGTTAACCCTTTTTCTGCTTACCACCATCCCCCTTCCCCAACTCTGTTTGCGGCAGGAGGGAAGTCTCTGTGGGTGTCAATGGGATAACTCTCCCTCGACTAACAGCAGCATTCAGGAGAAAGTCCTCTTTGCGGGTGTGGGATCAGAGGAAAGTGTTTACTGCCTCTCCCTGCACGCTGCAGACCCAACCCCAACATACAGTGGTACCTCTGGTTGTGAACTTAATTTGTTCCGGAGGTCTGTTCTTAACCTGAAACCGTTCTTAACCTGAGGTACCACTTTAGCTAATGGGGCCTCCCGCTGCTGCCGCACCACCACTGCGCGATTTCTGTTCTCATCCTGAGGTAAAGTTCTTAACCTGAGGTACTACTTCCGGGTTAACGGAGTCTGTATCCCGAAGTGTTTGTAACCCAAGGTGTTTATAACCCAAGGTACCACTGTAGTGGGTTTGGGGTGGGAGTGAGGCACCTACAGCTGCTGCTTATAGTTGTAAAAAGAGACCCTGCCCTTGAACCATTAAGCATCATGTCACGTTTAGCTGCAAATTCTGACAGCGCAGGCAACTGTGAGTCAAAGGTAACCCGCAATAGAATAGGAGCCAATGCCGTTGCATGTACTATCCCTGTGCCTGTCTGTCTCTGTTAGGCATGAGGACGAAAGGGTGCGGGCAGCATCCCAGCGAGAGACGTTCGGTAGCCAGGTCTCCGGGTTTGACCTCAAGTGCCAGGTGTGGGGAAGAGGGGGTAGAACATTGCATCACGCAAGGAAATACCCTCGAACTGATGGAACATAGGAAGCTGCCTTAGATGAGTCAGACCATTGGTTCATATTGTCTACACTGACCGGCAGCGGTTGTCCAGGGTTTCGAGCAGGCGATCTCTTCCAGCCCTATGTGGAGATGCCAGCAGGGACTGAAGCTGGGATGTTCTGCATGTGCGGAAGATGCTACAGCCCTTTCCCTCAGCACTGTGTTGAATACAACACCTTGTTGTGCTCCTTGCTGCCCAGGGCTTCTTTGGGAGGAAAGATGTGTTAGAAGAGGGAGGGAGGGAGGGAGGGAAGAAGGAAGGAAGGAAGGAAGGAAGGAAGGAAGGAAGGAAGGAAGGAAGGAAGGAAGGACCAAAGGACCAAACAGTGGTTAGGGAGGCAGGAACCGCTCAGTTAGATCGCTGAGGTGACAGAAGGGAAGATTGCCCTTGTTTTCATCCATGAAAGGTCTGTTATCACCAACTTTTCAGTTTATTTATTGTTTATTTCCTTATCTATTTCATAGCATTTATACGCTGCTTGATTGTTAAAAGAAAACCCTCAAAGCGGTATACAAAGAGAATAAAACAATAAAATTATCAATAAAAATCACCCTTTAAAACATTCAAAAGATAAGATCAGAAATAAACTAAAAACATACAGCAACATTTACATGTCTGGATAGACTTGTCTTTAAAAGCTGTTTTTAGCAGGCACTGAAAGGAGTACCGGGAGGACGCCTCTCTGATGTCAGTAGGCAGGGAGTTCCAGAGTGCAAGTGCTACCACAGTAAACGGGCCATGGACTTGTGC